AACAGACGTGGGGTCAGCAGGGAGAGCAACAGGGGGGTCAGGGCAGGGGAGCATAACGTCAATGTGAACGGCCAGGGAGTGGCCGTCCTGCCGCTGACTAGTGAGGTGATGGGGGAGGTCGACGAGCCATGAGTCGAACTCAACCGGCTGACCCTCCGCGTCAAAGCGCAGCACCGAGTCCACCATGAAGACCGCTGCAGCCACGAACAGGCGGTGAAGGAGCAACGAGGAGCAGTGGGAAGGAGTGTTGTACGGTGCAGTGCGGTTGGGCACCATGCAGTGCGGTGCCACACCATGCAGAGCGATGCAGTGCGGTGGGGCACGGTGCAGTGAGGTGGGGCGCGTTGCAGTGCGGTGCAGCATGGTGGGGCGCGATGCAGGGCGGTGGAGAGGGCCGGTGAAGCGGGCGGGGACCGGGAAACACGGCGGCAGAGCCGCTGGGTGACGGGGTCGCTGGGCGGCCGGGCAATAGGGCCGCGGGGCGGCTGGGCGACGGGGCAGTGGAGCAGCAGGGCGAAGGGTCGCGGGGCGGCAGGGGGTCGGTGCCGTGGAGCAGCTTGGAGACGGGGCCGCGGGGCAGCGGGGCGGCTGGGCGACGGGGCCGCGGAGCAGCGGGGCGACGGGGCCGCGGGGCCGCTAGGCTACGGGGCCACAGGGCGGCTAGGCAACAGAGCGGCTAGGCGACGGGGCGGCAGGGCGGCTACGCTAGGGGCGATGCGGCCGCGGGGCCAGCAGGGCGGCTAGGCGCTGGGCGACGGGGCGAGACGGCCACGGGTGGCTGGGCGCTAGGTGACGGGGCCGCGGGGCCAGCGGGGCGGCTAGGCACTAGGTGGCGGGGCAACGGGGCTGCGGGCACCTAGGCGTTAGGTGACGAGGCCGCGGGGCCAGCGGGGCGGCTAGGCGCTGGGTGACGGGGCCACGGGGCCACGGGCCTCCAGGAGCTACGTGATGGGGCCGCGGGGGCTAGGCGCTAGGTGACGGGGCCGCGGGGCCACGGGCGGCTAGGCGCTAGGGAACGGAGCCGTGGCGTCAGCAAGGCAACAGGGCAACGGGGCCCGTGGGGCGGCTAGGCGCTAGACGACAGGGCAGGCTAGGACCTAAGGCAGAAGCGCCGGTGGGCGGGGGGGACCTAACCTACTCATGATACCATCTCAGAGTTAGAAGTGTTGACTAGAATGAGAGTATACAGGGGTATATAGCTAGTGGGTTGTACTCTCTATGGCAAGCCCCTAGGTAGTCTACTAAACATACACAAATATGTTTGACAGGCACTACTAGTCCAGCCACTGGAGGAGGAGCCACAAAGCCAATCAAGGGAATATAAGATATAGTACACAATCAAGGTCCTAGCAAGTGAGAAGCTACACGAACTGGACCAAGCTGTACACAGTGCCGCTGATGATCTTTAGGCGCAAGTGCCTTGTCAGCGGCTTCAAGCAGACTTTTGGACTTGAATACGAGCTAACATTTGCTCCTGTCAGCAGACACACTAGTGTCCGCATTTTACTCTGCGTCGCAGCCTGCCGGAATTTCAAACTTCGCCAAATCGACGTGGCCAATGCATTTCTATACGCACCCGTCGATGCATTAATTATGGTTGAGCACCCGCATTCTTACGAAACTAACCCTCCAAGTGTATGCGGTCTCAGAAAGTACCGCTACGGCATTAAACAGGCTCCACGCCTGTTGCAGCAGTATCTTCACGCTCAGTTAGTTATTGTCAGGTTTCAACAATTACCGCACGACCAAGGAATGTATTTACTTACCGACGGCCATGACTACATTTTGCTCGTCGCTTATGTCAACGACTTACTCGATGTCAGCACCACGGATTCTTTCACTACTACATTTGGACAGACACTTCAACTACACCTACAGATTACTATCACACCTACAGTAACACAGTTTCTCAGCCTAAACATTCACCGCACACCAACTGCTATTGATCTTACCGCTTCAAAGTATGTTGCTACACTAGCCGTACGGTTTAACCTCACACCTTCGACAGCCACCACGCCTTACCGCTCTCTGCCTATGGATTACACGCCTGATACAAGTCCGCTTGACAGCACCGAACTTCAGCTCTATCAACAGCAATTGAGTTGTCTTCTATTTGCAGCCGTAACATGTCGCCCAGAACTCGCCTATGCTGCTAGCCAGCTCACGCAGTATCTGCGTCGACCTGAGGGGGAGAATCGGCTAGATCTTCTACGCGCCCTAAAGTATTTTATTTCTACACTTGAAGTCGGACTTACCTACCAAGTCACCACTACGAAAACTCTTTATCTTCACGGGTATGTGGATGCTGATCATGCGGCACATATATCTAATCGTCGATCTCGCACCGGCTTTATCTAACGTTTCGAACCTATCGGGACCATCTCCTAGAATTCTATAATGCAAGTGCTCATAGCTCTATCATCTACTGAAGCCGAGTTTATAGTTGCTTGCACAGCTACTCGCGAAGGTCTCTACTTACAAGAGCTACGGTAAGCATGTGCGACAGCGGCAGGAAGGGGCAAGTGGCATGAGCGCAGTGCGGTCGCGGAAGAAGCAGGCAGACGCTCCAAAGTCGAGGGTGAAAGAGAGCAAAGCAGTAGCTTCAGCTGGCGGGGGGAATAGCATAGAGCCTAGGCTAAACAAGGCAGAGGGGCATACGTCTGACGCAGCAGGGGAGCCTAAACTACACAGAGAAGAGACACCTACACTAGGCAACACCGTGTAATAGGGTCCAATCACACTAGAGTCATGAGCACATGGTGGCGGGGGTCCCCACCGCGACTGCTGCTGCTGTTGGTCAGGCTGCAGCTGCTACTGCTGCTCAGGTTGCGGCTGCTATTGCTACTGCTCCGAGGCACTAGCCCCGGTCCCCTCATCCGAACCACCGTCCCCGCCCCCACCTTCCCAACCCCCACCACCCTTCCCTCGGCCACGCCCCCCCTTAGGGCGGCGGCCCCTACCCGGACGTGGCTGTGCTGAGGCCGCAGTCGCGGTCTCAACAACAGCGGCAGAGACGTCAGAGTGAGTGCGCTGGGAGGGAGCAAAGCCCTGAAAGATAGAGACCGCCGCAGTACCGCTAGACTGAGCGATAGTGTGCTGGCGGGTCTCTGTCGCGGACAGGGCGGTGACAAAGGCAGTGAGGGTGAGGTCACCCGGGGGCTGACTAAGGAAGTGGTCGCGGGCAATGGCTAGGCGATCAGGAAGGCGCGTGGCAAAGAGGTAAAGGGTAGCGCAGAGCGGCAGCGGAAAGGCAGTGAGCTGAGCACAGTGCTAGTGGCACGGTAGTTAGTCTCAAGTGCGCGGAGGTGAGTGGCAAGATCGGCGACAATGGGGAAGGACGCAAGATCAGGGAACAGCATGGGGAGGATCAGGCGGCCAACCGAGGCTGAGGCGGGGGTGGAATAGCACGCGATGACTGCATCTAAGAATTCCTTGGCGTTCGCTACAGTGGTAAAGCGGGGATGCTCAGACAAGGGAAGTGCGTGACCAATAGCAAGCTGCGCAACGGCGTCGCGTGACTCCCAGAGAACGGAAAAGGCCTCACGCTCAGCAGTGGTGGGGGCGTCAAGGAGGGCAACAGGCGCAGCGAGGCGGGGAAGCAGGCCATCGACATGAACAGCCAGGGAATGACCGTTCTGGTGCTGACCTATAAGGTGACGGCGAAGGTCAACGAGCCACTCCTCGAAGTCAATCGCCCGACCCTCCACGTCCAGGTCGGAGCAATGAGTCCGCCATCACCACGGCTGCAGCAGCTGACTGCCGCTTACAAGGAGAGGAGGAAAGGCGGAGGAAGACGGCAGATAGCGGTGGAGTGAGGTGGAGTGAGGTGGAGTGCGGTGGAGAGCGGTGGAGTGTGGTGGAGTACGGTGGAGTGCGGTGGAGAGCGGTGGAGTGCGGTGGAGGCTGCTGGCGGGAGCGCCAGCTCGAGGAGGAGCCAAGGTCGGCGGGATGGCTCGACTCAGCGGTAGGAAGGGCCGGGGCGGGCTGGGACCGGCGGAGCTGCGGCCGGCGGGAGCGCGGGGCCAGCAAGCGTGGGACGGGCGGGCGCTGGGCCAGCAGGCGCAGGGCTGGCGGGCGCCGGGCCAGCAGGCGCGGGGCTGGCAGGTGCGGGGCCAGCAGGTGCAGGGGCCGGTGGGCGCGGAGCTAGCGAGCGCAGGGGGCCGGGAGGCGCTGGACAAGCGAGCATGGGGCCGGTGGCGGGTGGCTGGCGAAAGCGGGGCCAGCGGGCGCGGGAGCCGACTGGCAGCTGGCGGCGACGGGCGGCTAGCGACGACGAGCGGCAGGCGGCTACGGCCGGCCAGCAGCTACGGGCGCCCAGCGGCGACGGGCGACCAGCAGCAACGGGCGGCCAGCGTCAACGGGCGGCTAGTGGGGATGGGCGGCCAGCGGCTACTGGCAGGCTGGCGGCTACGAGCGGCTAGCGGCAACGGGCGGCCAGCAGCGACAGGCGAGCTGACGGTCACGGACAGCCAGCGGCGAGCGGGCTACGAGCTGCTGGCGGCGAGCGGGCTACGGGCGGCTGGCGGCGACGGGCTGCTGGTGGCTTCGGGCGACGGGCGGCCAGCGGGCTACAGGCGGCTGGCGGCTACGACGGTCAGCTAGGAACAGGCGGCTAGCGACAGGCGGCACAGGCTAGGGCTAGGACGAGGGCGGAAGCGCGGGTGGGCGGGATCCTAACCTAGCGTGATACTTAGAAAGATTGACTAGAATGAGGCAAACATGGCGGTTTTGTCTAAGGGGTTGTACCCACTAAGAGTACGCACCTATCTAGCCCATAATACATCTACATAATATGTTTGACAGGCTTCCCTTTGCTTGGAGCCCTTTCTCCAGGAGGCTCAAAGCGTAGAGATCTCGCAGCAACTTGCACTAGCCATCATTCTCTGAAAAGGCGTCTGGATCAAAACTTCGCAACATCCGTTTACAACGCCTCGAATTCCGCCTAGGAGGTAGGGACATAACAGTAAATTCCAACAACCCTCGGACGAGCAGAATGTGAACGAGGGACACGTGCCCCAAGATCTCATCATTTATAAATTATACTTCCAAACTTCGGGTGTTATGTCACCCTGAACCAGCAGCAAGTTTTAAGCTAAAACACTACTGGCCAATGCCTCCCTCTAGGCCCGGATCTAGATTTACGCGCTACAAGCAAACCCATATCTGGATTTACTGAAGCGCCAGTGGTGTCAGAAGCGCCGGCATCTGTCAGGCTCTTTCTAGTATTATTGAAGCGGCGCAGCTCCTCTTATCGAAGCACCGCTTACAGGAACCGTTGCTGCTTACAGCACGGTGCCCTGGAGCGTGGTGGGGAAGGCCACAGCGTCCGTAGTGTGCACGGCGAGCTTGCCGGCCTTGACGTAGAAGTTAAGCTTAGTAATGGTCATGGTGCTCCCCTTCTTCCCCTGCAGCACCACCTGCCCCTTCTTGTTGTTCGCCAGCTTCTGCAACGTCATGGGCTTGCCCGCCTTGGTGCTCGCGAGCGTCGTGATGTTGCTCCCCTCGGGCAGGCTCTTGAGCGCGTCGGCCGGAATGACCTTCTTGAACGCCGAGAACCCCACCACCACCATCAGCTCCGTCGACTTGTACTTGGTGATCTGCAGCTTGCTGATCGCCGTGTTCGACGGCACCAGCATCGTCAGGGGCTTCGCGAGCGCGGCCTTCACTTCCTTCATCTTGCCTGCAGTGGGGGAAGGGAGGGAGAGAAGCGCGGGTGGGAGGGAAGGGAGATGTTAAGCGAAAAGGGTGGAGGATAGATCGAAAAAACTGGATACGCATTGAGACGCCTTTGGAAAAATAGGGAAACAAATTTGGAACCGAAGTGTAATAAGTCTCGGTTTCGCGCGGTTCTTACCGTAGGCACTGACGAGAGAGACGAAGCTGGTGAATCCCGACTGGTTGAGCTTCTGAATTGCCTCGTCGAAGGGCGTCAGCGGGCCTGTTGGCGCCCCCGCGGTCTTCCCTGGAGTTGTCGTCTTCCCCGGCGTAGCCGGCGTTGTCTTCGGCGCGGTTGGTGTTTTGGGCGCTGTTGTTTGAGCCGAGCAGACGGCGGCGAAGCCGACAAGAGCTAGCAGCAGAACGGCAGATCGGGAAACCGCCATGGCTGAGAGTGTGGAACGAGGACGTAGAACTCTGGGAAACTGAATCCAGCCGATTGTCAGTACCAGTCGGGGATGGTTGGAATGCCGGGATGCTATGGTCCGAGGTGAATGCCTGGGCGGGAGAGGAGACTGGGAGACTGCAGATGAGGCGATGGTGGTGGTTGTGGAAGTGGATGGTTGGGGGTTATAATCCCAACTCGAAATGGCGAACTGTACAGTGCACTCTTGGAATTTCAGTCAGCGCGGCTCGGATAATTGAATTTCGGCTGTCGTCAGGCTTCAGCTCCACCAGCGCTCGACGCGGCGGTGATAACGGTCCCTGCAGTCAAGCCAACGCAGGAGGTTAGACAGCTGGGCGACCCGAAACGACTGCGCGCGACCTCACGGTGTGCTCCCTGCGATGATAGTTTGGGAGTGTGTGGCGAAACTGTCGTATACTTCCCTGTTCGCACAGCCACCCGGGATGCTCGTGAAACGTCAAAACGGTCAGGTATGGGGTAGATCCCTGTAGGAAAATCCTCTCTATGCGTTCATGTAAGGGCGCGAAACTCTGGATTCATTTGTAAAGTGACGTCATCATGCACGAATTTACAATCAACATTTGATGCGAACGAGCCTAGCTAGCATTTCTTGAAGATACACGTGCATTTGTGACATGATATTTCTCCAACACTCTTCGGCCATGGGTCAAAGCCATTTGGCTTTTTGCCTCAGCTGATGAAGGGCATCTCTGGCCATCAGAGGGAAGGTTTCCCGAAATAAGCTACGATTTCTGAGAATTCAGAGGAGCCCTCGCAACTTTCCATGTGTGGCAGGAGGGATCTGGCTGGACATGACATACCATAAGAGGAAGACAGCGTTAGTTATTGCATCCCACTATTGTAGTTTCAATTTATGGAAGTCACACGTATTTGTGACAATATTTCCCAAACTCCCTTCGGCCATGTCTGGGTTCTCGTTCGGCTTTTAGCCTTGGCTGGTGAAGGGCCCGTCTGACCATCAATAGGGCGGTTTTTCCTTATCTGATTTCTTCAATTTATCAGCTACGTTTCTGAGAATTCAATGGAGGCCCTGTGTTACGAATGGGAGTGCCGAATAGTGTGGAGGGCAATCGCGAAACTGTGAACGAGTGAATGACAATAAAACGAAACAACACACAATATATAGAAAGCCTGGGGTGATCCCTGACGTACCAGGATAGGAAGGTTCGGGAAAAGAATCGAAGGGCCTAGATGTGTCGAAGCGAGGTCTGGAAAGGCCCAGGAGGCTCGAACAGAAAGGTTTGGAACCCTATCGCTGGTTTGGGACTGTTCGAATCGTACGCCATGTAGCAAGCCTCAGTAAGGAATAACTAATTCCTTACACTCTCCCCCCTTCTAGATAAGCGCACAAATAAACAAAACTACATTCACTCTAACAGAATCTCGTATCAAAATTAGAATTGAATAATGGTAAAGTGAGAGTACACACAAATATACCTAAGTATTGTACCCTCTAAGAGGTGACCCTATATAGTCTATACAAACATGACAAATACACATGTTTGACACACCCCCTAGACTGCATAGGGGAATACCCTAAACAAGCAGCTCAGGGCGGCACTACTAGTCCAACCTCTGAGACAAGGGTCTGAGAGACCAGTCAGAAGGAGTACAGACAAGGCAAGAACAAGAGCAGGGCGGCACTACTAGTCCAGCCACTGGGAGAGGACACAAGTCCAGTCTGAGTATACATATAAAGGACAGTACAAAGTCAAGGTCCTAGAAAGTGAGAGGCGACAGGAACTAGACCAAGCTGTACACAGTGCCGCTGATGATCTTTAGGCGCAAGCGCCTTCGTAAAGATATCAGCTGTGTTGGCACCTGAGGCCAAGTGTACTACGCGAGCCTGACGTCGCTGCTGTAGCTCACGCAGGAGGAAGTACCGCAGCTGAATGTGCTTCGCTCTGCCCTCAAGTCGTGGCTCCTGACACAGGAGGATCATGGCCCTGTTGTCAGCGAACAGGACCGGGGCAGAGCTAGGCCGCTCACCTAAGTCAGTGAGCAAGAAGGTCAGCCAGCGGAGCTCCTGTGCCGCCATGGCACCAGCGTAGATCTCAGCCTCACAGCTGGACTACGCAACAGACGAGGAGCGGGTAGCTCTCCACGAGACGGCACCTGAGCCAAGGCTGAAGCAGTAGCCCTGGGTAGACCTGAGTGTCTCAGCGTCGTCTGCCCAAGAAGCGTCTGTGTGTCCAGTAAGGACCACTGGCCTGCGTCCTCCAAGCACTAACCCCATGCCCGATGTACTAGCAAGATAACGCAGAACCCTCTTAGCGGCAGACCAGTGCTGCGGTCGGTGTCTGCCTGTGGCCACAAAGCGTGCCAGGATGCTGAGAGGGTATGCGAGATCTGGGCGAGTGCAAGTCATCAGGTACATGAGGCAACCCACCAGCTCTGCGTAGGGCCCGCTGGGCTCTACCAACTCCTCAGGTACTGGAGCGGAGAGTCTGTGGTCTACAGGCAGAGGGGTGGGCTGTGCAGAGGAGAACTGAAGGCTGAACCTCTGAAGGACCAGGCGCACCAAGTGTGACTGAGTCAGGGTGATGGTGCGCGCAGCTCTGTCCCTGGAGATCTGCAAGCCAAGGTAATGGCGCAGTTCTCCAAGGTCAGTGCAGGTGTGTCTCTTCAGCAGCTCTGCCTTCACGGAGGCCAGTGCGTCCCTGTCTGCTGTGGCAAAGACCAGGTCGTCGACGTAAACAAGGATGTAGAACGGAGTCTAGCCAGCACGAACGAAGTGTGAAGGGTCTGCGGAAGACGGAAAGAACTGCAGGTCAGCAAGGGTAGCACGGAGAGTGTCGTGCCACTCACGGGGAGCCTGGCGCAGGCCGTAGACGGGGCGCCGCAGGAGCCACTGGGTCCCAGGAGGGAAGGTGCCAGTAAAGCCCGGAGGGCGACGCAGGTAGACCTGCTCGTGTAGGCTGCCCTGAAGGAAGGCACTGGAGAAGTCGAGGGAGTGAAGCTCGTAGTCACGCTGAGCAGCTAGGTGTAACAGAACCTGAAGAGTAGTCATCTTCGGGGTCGGAGCGAAAGTCTGGAAGAAGTCCAACCCCCTCGCGCTGACTGAAGCCTCTAGCCACGTAGCGCGCCTTGAACACAGGCGGCTCTCCAGGAGGGCGCTTCACCTTGAAGAGCCAGCGGCCATCAACTACGTTCACCCCAGGCGGGGGAACCGCGTCGACGAAGGTGCCGGTGGATCTCCAAGATGCCATCTCCTGCTCCATGGCAGCTATCCACTGCGAGGCCCAGGGTCCCGAAGTCGCCTCAGCGTAAGTGCGAGGGGTCGGGATGTCGAAAGCGTCTGGGTCACCCTCAGGGACTAGCAGCATGGAACAGAGATGGGGAGCGGCCTCAGAGAGGAAAGCAAGCTCGAACTGGCGGTCCTCCAGGACGTCACTGCCAAGGGCAGGAGCACCCCCGACAGACGGAGGACAGGCAGGGTCTGAGACTAGAGCGGTGGCGTAGTCAAGGCGGCAGGTAGAGGCGAAGTCAGCGACAGCAGCGACAAGAGCGTCAAGGCACGAGACCGGAACAGACGGGTCGGTAACGAGAGAGGCAAGGACCCGAGGAACGAGAGGACAAGCGTCACGAAGGTAGTCGGACAGCGGGGGGGGCGCAACAACAAGGGAGGACGGAGGAGGCGACGAGAGAAGGGGAGGACGAGACGCGTGGGAACGAAGCAACATAGGGTGGGAGCGCAAGACAGGCGAGGCAGGACGAGCACGGGAGGGACGGTGAGACCAGACGTGGGACGGAGGAGTCGGGTCAGGAGACAGGGGAGGGGACACAGGAGGGGAACGAGGGGGAAGACGGGCCGGGGACGAGTCCGGCGGAGGAAAAACAGGGCCGTAGACAGGAAGAGGAGGAGACGGTCGGGGAGGAACCGACGCAGGGTCGGGGGACGGAAGGCCGAGCAGGCGAAGGGCGGACACCGGCGGGGACTGCTGCTGCGGCGGCACAACGGCGACACCTGGACCGCAAGCTGCTCCTCGGCTACCACCGGCACTCTCCACACCCGCACCCGCAGAGGGACCACCCCCAGGGCGACCGGGACGAGCACCCCCAGAGTCAGCGAACGGGGGCTGCGACGGCGGCGGCGGAGGCGACGGCGGCGGCGGCGGCGGCGGCGACGACGACGGCTGCAGCAGCGGCAGTGGCGGTGGAGGAGGGGACTGGGGAGGGGACACCTGGGGAGGGGCGGCCGGCGAGGACTGCACAGGAGGGCCACCAGAGTAAGAAGACTCCTCAACCGGGTCCACGGACAGAAGGGGGGTGACGTGGGACACACCAGAGGGGGCGGGACGGGGAGGAGGAGGAGGAGGGGCAGGGACTACCGGGGAAGGGGTGACCAGGAACAGGGGGAGGGTAACCGGGGGACCACGGTGGGGAAAGCGACGGTAGTAGGAGACGGACTCGTCAAAGGTGACGTCACGAGAGTGAAAGAAGCGGTGAGACGGCGGGTGGTAAAAGTGCCAGTCGGACGCGTCAAGGGGAAAACCGAGGAAGACGCAGGGAAGGGTGCGGGCAGTGAGCTTGTCCGTGCCGGAGGCACGGACGTGAGCAAGGCAGCCCCAGACGTGGAACGCAGACGTGTCACCAGGAGACCCAGTCCAAAGACGGGTCGGCGAAACCTGCGGCTGCTGAGGGTGCGGCCACAGGTTAAGCTGGTGAGAAGCGTAGCGCACAGCGAACGGCTACAGAAAATGGGGTGCACCAGCATGGATCATGGAGGTGCGAGCCACCTCCATGACCAAACCGATGCGTCGCTCAGCGACCCCATTCTGCTGTGGGGAGTCCGGTAGGGTGAACGTCTGGGTGATGCCCTCCGCACGACAAAAGCGACCAAGGACACCTGAGGCAAACTCGCCACCACGGTCTGAGTGAAGACGCAAGACAGGGAGACTGCGGTGGACAGGCGCAGAGACAAGCCATGGGATGAGAGCGCCAGGCACGTCGACCTTGCGCTCCAGGGGAAAGACTGTGGTGTAACGAGTGAAGTCCTCGACAAGCACAAGGAAGTAGCGCTCTCGACGCGGCCCAGGGACGGGGGCGGGGCCCCAGACGTCCAGGTGCAGGGTCTGCAGCGGCGCGGCGGTAGGGGGAAACGAGGAGGAGTGAGGGGCACGGCGAAGCCGACCCTCGACACAAGGCGTGCAAGGTGGGGCTGGAGAG